ATTAAAGTGCAAATAAAGATGGGGAAATGTAGAAACAGTTGGTTTGATAAGCCAAAGCTCCCAGGGCTTTTCACTGAACGTGTTTAAGTTCAATGTTATTAAGTCCTTAACTGCCCACTAAAGGGACTGATCGCTGTAAAGGATACATTTCCAGGGACTATTAAGTGAGATTACCAAAGGTCAGCCAAAAGCATAACATTTATATAATTAAGTCCCCTACTGACAAACGAGTTCTATTCTGAGAGCATGTTCCTAAGTCCAACAAAGTTAGCTTAGATACCCAACTAACACAATCAGCTATGTAGTACTGTGCTGTAATGGGTTTCTAATACTTACCACACAAATAATACATTAAAAAAAAAAACACTTTAAATCTTACAGTACAGTACCTTGAAAAGTGCAGTAGTACCAGCTACCTCACCACTGCTTTTACCCTTTCTTCCAGGCATCCTGGCCTTCCCTGGTGGCTTGGACAGTAAAAAATCTGCCTGCAATGCAGGAGACCTGAGTTCAACCCCTGGGCTGGGAAGATCCCCTGGACGAGGAAATGAACCCACTCCAGTCTTCTTGCCTGGAGAATTCCATGAACAGAGGAGGCTGGCGGGCTACCATCCATGGGGTCTCAAAGAGTCAGACATGCCTGAGAGACTAACACCCACCAGACATCCTAGACTTGAAATAAAGATACTAAGCTACTGTACTCTGTACAGGATTGTAGAGCAATGTATACAAAACCCAGTCACTTGTAGAGGGTACTTGGGGTACATGACAAAGTACCCCAGACCCGTGAGCTAACTTACAGGACTGGACATGTGAATACAGGTTCACATCTTTGAAAGTTCCCAGGTTTGTGTGTAGGGGACTTACTGTCCTGGAAAATAAGAAAGTCCTGCCATTTTCATAAGGCTGTTGAACTTTCTAATGTAAGCCACTTTCGTTCCATCAGGGCTAACCCCCTATTGGTACAAATTCTTTCAGTCGTTGCTGTTTGTTGTTTAGTTGCTCAGTTGTGTCTCTTTGAGACCCCACAGACTGTAGCCTATCAGGCTACTCTGTCCGTGGGATTCTGCAGGCAAGAATACTGGAGTGGGCTGCCATTTCCTTCTCCAGGCGATCTTCCTGACCTAGGGATCGAACCCAGGTCTACCGTGTCTCCTGCACTGGCATGTAGGCTCTCTACCACTGAGCCATCAAAGAGAGACCTCAAAGAACAGAGGCATCAGGCAAGCCTCAGTTCAGTTCAGTTCAGTCGCTCAGTCATGTCCGACTCTTTGCGACCCCATGAATCACAGCACGCCAGGCCTCCTTGTCCATCACCCACTCCCGGAGTTTACCCAAACTCATGCTCATCGAGTCAGTGGTGCCATCTTATCCTCTGTCATCCCCTTCTCCTCCTGCCCCCAATCCCTTCCAGCATCAGGATCTTCTCCAAGGAGTCAACTCTTCGCATGAGTTGGCCAAAGTACTGGAGTTTCAACTTAGCATCAGTTCTTCCAAGAACACCCAGGACTGATCTCCTTTAGGGTGGACTGGTTGGATCTCCTTGCACTCCAAGGGATGCTCAAGAGTCTTCTCCAACACCACAGTTTAAAAGCATCAATTTTTCGGTGCTCAGCTTTCTTCACAGACTCAGGTGTGTTTAAAAATCATCTTTTATATAATAAAGCTGTTGTCAAACAGTGCTGCAGTTTGAACACCCTTGCCTCCAAGCAGAGACGTTAAATTGTGCAGGAGGCATGCATTCCAGAATAATTTCCTGCTGGATCTCACAACTATTTAAAGCAGAAGTGTGTTGAAGGCGGTCTCTCTCCAGGCATCCTGACCCCAAGCCCATGAGGTATCTTCTCTTCCAGGTCTGGGAAAGGCCCCTGTCTCACTGAATAATGGGCCAGAAACCCCCTCCTGTTAATATTAAAAGACACACAGCTTTTTATTCATCTTTCTGTGTGGTACGAGAGTGATCAAACGAACCACCAAGACTTTTTTGTAACTTGTGTTTCTTAACCATCTCCGAGGACTGGAGTCCAGCTCCATGTCTGGAAAGGAAGTGCCCTCTTGTCGGCACTTGTGTCATTGCTCCTGCCACAGAAGTCAGGTTTTGGGGATTTTTCCAAAGTTAGGCTTTGAGAAATTTCAAAGCTGGTGGGAATCTGGGCACATAACAGAATCTAAGTCAGGCATCTGAACTTAATTCTACTGAATACTCATCCATGTGGTATATGTTCAAAACTCTGCAAATAACCTACGAAAAAGACTGGTTCCAGGAGGTTTTTGATGGCGTCTACATACCAACTGGACTTAATAGTTTTCACACATGTTTCTTTTCTTTTTAAACTCTTGTATTTTATATTGGAGTATAGCAGATTAACAGGGCTGTGATAGTTTTAGGTGCATATCAAAGGGACTCAGCCATATGTATACGTGTATCTATTCTCCCCAAACTCCCCTCCTATCCAGGCTTCCACATATCTCTGAGCAGAGTTCCCTGTGCTATACAGTAGGCCCTTGTTGGTTATCCATTTTAAACATAGCAGTGTGTACATGTCCATCCCAAACTCCCAACTATCCTTTCCTCCCATCCTTACCCCCGGCAACCATTATCAAACACGTTTCTTATCTGTTCTTTTTAAATTAAAAGAAAATGCATTTTAATGAAATACATGATATGAAATTTAGCATCTTAACCATTTTAAGTGTGGAGTTCAGTAGGGTTCATTACATTCACTTTGCAACCAGTCTCTACAACCCTTCTTGTCTTCCCAAACTGAAACTGTCCCTATTAGACAATAACTCCCCTGCCCCCTCCCCCCAGCCCCTGCAAACCACCGACTTTCTTTCTGTCTCTGTGAATTTGACTCCTCTAGGAACCTCACATGAGTGAAATCAAGCAGTATTTGTCCTATATCACTGGCTTATATCACTAAGCATAATGTCTTCAAGGTTCATCTACATTTTAGCAGGTGTCAAATTTTCCTTCCTTTTTATGGCTGAATGATATTCCACTGTACAGATAGACCACATTTGGCTTATCCATTCATCTATCCATGGACACCTGTGTTACTTCCACTTTCTGGCTATGGTGAATAGTGCTTCCGTGAACACAGGTATACAAGTATCTCTTCAATCCCCTGCTTCAATTATTTTGGGTCTATCCCGAAAACTGCTGAATCACGCGGTAATTCTGTTTTTAATTTTCTGAGGAGCCACCATACTGTTTCCATAGCACCTAGCGTCTGCACTGTTTTACATGCTCACCAACAATGCACAAGGGTTCCAGTTTCTCCACCTTCTCATCGGGGGAATAAAACAGTTTTTAGAACCGTCATTCACACGTAACAAAAGACAGCAAATTTAAGTCAATTCATTTTATTGAGTTTTGCAAAAACATCTTTAAACAACAGTCAAAGAATAATAAAGTATTACAGAAGTTCAAATAGATCCAATTGTAGCATACAGCAGAGCATGTGATTTAAGTCTTATTGTGTGATTTCAATTAATTCACTGTCATAAAATGAATATACGGTCTTTCCTGCTAGGAAATTGCTTCCGTATGTTCACCTTACATGGGCCTTCTGAATCTGGGTATTTTAACAGCAGATAAGCATTTTAAGAATTTGAATTTAGTTAATGATGGGAGAAATTCTTTTACAATGTATAGGTACATCAAATTGTTCATCAAGTCATCACAAGGAACAGTTTAAAAATCTTATAATTTTGTCAGTTATATCTCAATAAAGCTTTAAAAAAAGAATTTAAGGCCTATCAATGATTTCAAAATATGGGGTGGGGGGAAGAGTTCACAGCAAAAGCAGTTCCTGAGCTAGGAAGAAAAATATGACTCAGTATAAATGTTTAGTTGCTGTCATGTCTGATTCTTCTGCAACCCCATGGACTGTAGCCCACCAGACTCCTCTGTCCATGGGATTCTCCAGGCAAGAATACTGGAGTGGGTTGCCATTTCCTCCTCCAGGAGCTCTTTCCCACCCAGGGATTGAACCCGAGTCTCCTGCATTGGCAGGCGGTTTCTTTACCCTGAGGCACATGGGAAACCCTCACTATAAAGATAGGTACTAGTTAATTTTAAGTAAAAGAGGCATTTCACGTGCTGCTCAAATATAGGAAAATTCAATTGGCAAAAGAGAAATACTCACTATAGGGAGCTCTAAAAAAGTACAGCTTCTTTACAGGTACACATTCGCATTATTGGGTATTTATGTTTTTTCTCTGCCAATTGTTTAAAAAACATAAACAAAGGTGTTTTAGCAAAACAAAAGGGTAACCAATTGATCTAGGAGTTAATAAGCAATAATGGAATGTAATGGCGGGAGGGGTTTCATACATGCCAAATAATGACATGAAGAAAGAATACAAAATCTAAAATCGAGTCTTGCTCATCAAAAAAAGTAAAAAATTTACTCATCATTTTCCAGTTTAAAGTTTCTTATTTCTATTCAGTTTTTAAAATAACATTAAGATATTTCATGTTGAACTTAAAACTAACTAAAAGCATTATATTTTATTATATTATATTAAATGTAGCCTTAAATTTTATGGAAATTTATTTATATTAACAAACGGACACAAAAGTAGTCTTTAGTGTTAAAACTTACAATATCAGAAATATGGGTGTGTCCAATGTAACCTATAGTTTCCCATGTTTGAAACTATTTGCTGAAACACTAAATAGTCAATACTACGATGGAAATAACTCTTATCCAAAAATTACTGCTCATTCATCACGGGCCATGTTGTCTGCATCAAGCAAACAAATTCATAAGTTTGAGGTTTTATCTTCCAATGCAGGATTTGGGTCCTTCATCCAATATCTGCAATGTTTTGCAACATCCAGTTGAAAATAGGCAAAGAATTTTAGGCACTACCACAAGCTATAGAGAAAACTATAATTCACTAGGATGAATTCAATTGTTTCAAACACAGTGCTAAAACCTTGTAACTCTATTTAAGAATTCCATGGCTGTGAGACTGAACCCTGCCTCCTATCACTTATCCATCAAGGCCAGGATCATGTCACAGGCCAGGTCTTCCTCCAGGTCCTCGCCTTCGGTCTTGGCTTCTAGGAAGTCAGTGGGCTCCATCTCTTCTGGGTACAGCTCTCCACTCACCAGGGATACCTCCTCGGCTGTGGCTTCTTGGGGAAAAAGGCACAGGGTTGGTATATTTAAAATAAAGCTGAGAAATTAAAATTGATAGATGGTGCAACTGTATCTTGGAAGTAACTGCTGAATTTTTAGCACAACAGTAAGCATTTTAGAAAGCAATCCTTCTCTTTATAGAACAATACAAATGTGGTGCTGGAGTAGACTCCTGAGAGTCCTCGGGACAGCAAGGAAATCAAACCAGTCAATCCTAGAGGAAATCAACTGGGAATACTCATTGGAAGGACAGATACTGAAGCTGAAGCTCCAATACTTTGGTTACCTGACGTGAAGTGCTGGAAAAGACTTCCCTGATGCTGGGAAAGACTCATAGCAAGAGAAGGGGAAGGCAGAGGACGAGATGGTTGGATAGCATCACCAACTCAATGGACATGAATTTGAGAGAGATAGTGAAGAATCTGGGAGCTGGTGAAGGACAGGGAAGTCTGAGGTGCTGGAGTTCAGGGGGTCACAGAGTCGGACACGACTGAGTGACTAACCAATGACAACAACATGGTCATTTGCTGTAGCATCTCCAGAAGATGGACATGGCGCCCAGCAACTCCATGAGGCCCAGGGACAGTCCACCAGGACGGCCAAGGACGTCACCACCCAGCTCACACATCCAGCCAGGACCCCACGAGATGGGGGTGTGGATCCACCAGGCCCCCAGGCTCATTTCTCTCCGATTCCTCTCTGCCATCATCACCCCACTTTACCAACCCACCCACACTGCTAGGACCAGGCGCCTGCTGGGGTCAGCACTTAGGGTTGCCTTTCACAGTAACTCCCAGGACCCAGGGAAATGTACAACCAGAAACCACTGTGTAAGAAAACCTGGTTGGTTTAAAACGAGGTACCGTCTTCCTTGGCTGGCTCTCTTGGGTTGGCGGGCTTCTTCTTCGTTGTTCTTTCTTTTTCCAGGGTGGCTGGCTTTTCCTGCCCGGAGTTACATTTTTCTGAGTGTCTGTGCATGTTTCTCTGTGGAGGGGAGAGAGAAACGAAACAGTAGGGGGCAAGTCATTGTTGCCAGGACCCGCCTGGAAAACCCACGGGGCTAAAGAGACAGGACTCAGGGAAGAGCACGTGCTTCGCATAGTTTCTACAAACAAGACAACTTTTTAAAGGAGACTGCTTTCTGTTGTGTTTAGGTCAAGCCAAAATCCTGCTCATCTTTAAATATTTTAAAAATCATAGGTGTCAGAAGACAAAATTTATTTTTATGGACTGTTTTTACTCTATGAAGCGAGGCTTGAAAAATTCAACAGACTGTATCCCAGATTTTATGAAAATCAGTGATATACCATGTACATTTCACTGTGCTGTCAGCTTCCCCCAGGAAGGTATTAAGATCATACAACATCTGGAGTTAAAAAGGCAGCTCAGAGCTTTCATATCAGACCTATTAACCATATATTTTTGTCAGCAAACACTCAGGATGATTTAAAATAAGTGAGAACACTTACACTATCTCACAAGTTCATAAACTTAAGTAAGATATTGGCAGCATGTCATTAAATACGTCCATTATATAAAACACATCTTCTAATTTCCATTTTGACTTCAGTGTGGTGCTAAGGGCCGTCCTGGTGTGTGGGGAGGAGGAGGGAGGATTCACATGTCAAGGGAGGGGAAATATTATTTAAATTTCTTCCATTTTATGCTTAGCCATAGGGGTTGGAACACTGCTTCAACAGCAGACTTAAGTAGCTGGGACAGAAACTGGTCTGTGAAGCTGAAAATATTTACTTTCTAACCCTTTACAGAAAAAAGTGTACCAATCCTTGGTTAATAGAGTGATGATGGATGTAAAACCAAGCCTTGTGGAGTCAAAGATTCTTCTGTGAATATGATAAAAGCAATGGCTCCACCCCCAGCAAAGTTCATACATCTCCATCTACAACTTTCCAACAACGTCACGGACTTCCCAACGTCACGAAGTTCATGGCTAAGGACCCCGATACCAGTTTTGGATGAATAACCAAAACAAATAAAAACATCAAGCCTTTAAAAAGTAAGTGGGGTAAGATTTTAAGTAAACATATTGATATTTGGGGCTTCCCAGATGGTGCTAATGGTAAGGAACTCACCTGCCAATGCATGAGACATAAGACGTGAGGGTTGCATTCCTGAGTCAGGAAGGTTCCCTGGAGAAGGAAATGGCAACCCACTCCAGTATTCTTGCCTGGAGAGTTCCTTGGACAGAGAAGCCTAGTAGGCTACAGCCCACAGGCTCGCAAAGAGTCGGATGTGACTGAGTGACTTAGCACACATCAACATGTAGTGCCCAGAGAGCAAAGTGTAATAATACAACAAACACTCGTGTCAGGGAAACGTTTCTCAAGACAGAAGGTCCCTGGTACTCCGAATCCAGAGTGGGGCTCCTTTCTGGGGAGGAAGCGGGGTGACATTCTGGTACCCACTCCAGTATTCCTGCCTCGAGGAGTACACAGGGCCCACTGTGTATTACAGACATGAAGTTGGTGAATCTCTTACTTTTGATTGGAGCATGACTGCTTTCCAGTGTTGTTAGTACCTGACGTGGAGCAAAGTCAAGCAACTGCGCATGCCCTCATGCTCAGTCCTGTCCAACTCTTTGGGAGCCTGTGGACTGCAGCCTGCCAGGCTCTTCTGTCCATGGGAATCTCCAGGCATGAATACTGGAGTGGATTGCCATGCCCTCCTCCAGGGGATCTTCCCTAACCAGGGACTAAACCCAAATCTCCTGCGTCTTCTACATCACTGGCAGGTTCTTTACCGCTGAGCCACTGGGTAAGCCTGAATCAGCTACAGGTGTACATACATCCTCTCCCTTTTGGACCCCTCTTGCACCCCTTATCCCACCCTTCTAGGTCATCACGGAGCACCGAGTTGAGTTCCCTGCAATACACAGCAGCTTCCCACTGCTGACTGTTTTACATGCAGCAGTGTATATATGTCAATTCTACTCTCTCCATTCGTCCCACCCTTCCCTTCCCCCTGCTGGGTCCACTAGTCTGTTCTCGACTACTTTTTAAAAACTAAATTGAATTTGAGTATCCATATATGCTTTCATTTATTTAAACAGTATTTTTTGGGGAGTAGTTTTACATTCTCAGTAAAATTGAGAGGGAGGTAGAGATTTTCTGCCCTAAAAATTCTTTGTTTTGTGCCTGTTCATTCCTCCATCAAGCTCAACCCTTGGAGGCCACTGATGTGTTTATTGTCTCCATAGTTTTGCCTTTTCCAGAGAGTCATGTAGTGGGAATCATACAATCTGTAGTCTTTTCAGACTGGCTTCTTTCACCTAATGAGAATGTACAGTTCCTCTGTGTCTATTCATGGCTTGATGGCTTATTCCCTTTTAGCACTGAATAATGTCCCGCTGCCTGGATGCACCGCAGTTTATGTATCCATCCACCTACTCGAGGAAGCCTTGATTGCTTCTGAGTTGGGCTATTATGAGTAAAGCTGATATAAACACCTGTGAGCAGCTTTGTATATAAATATAAGCTTTCAGCTCTTTGGGGGAAAATACCAAAGAACATGATTGCTGGACTGGACTGTAGTCCTCTATGAGTATGTTTAGTTTTGCAGGAAACTTCCAAGCTGTCTTCCAAAGTGGCTGTGCTGTTTTACACTTTCACCAGCAGCGAATGACAGTTCCTGTTGCTCCACATCCTTGCCAGCATCTGGTGTTGTCAGTGTTCTGGATTTTGGCTGCCCCAATAGGTGTGTTGTGGCTAATTTTTTTTTTTTTTAAGTGTTAAACAAAATGACGTTTATTCTAACAAGTTATTACACATCTTTTGGTAAAATAGCAGTTGTTTGAATTTGCATTTCCCTGATGACATATGATGAGGAATAATTTCTCGCAGGCTTATTTGCCATCTGTACATCTTTCTAAGAAGATCATGGCATGCAGTCCTATCACTTCATGGCAAATACATGGGGGAAAAGTGGAAGCAGTGACAGATTTTATTTTCTTGGGCTCCATAATCACTGAGGACGGTGACTGCAGCTATGAAATTAAAAGACGCTTACTCCTTGGAAGAAAAGCTGTGACAAAGCTAAGTATTAAAAAGCAGAGACATCACTTTGCTGACAAAGGTCTGTCTAGTTAAAGCTATGGTTTTTCCAGTAGTCATGTACAGATGTGAGAGTTGGACCAGAAAGAAGGGTGAGTGCTAAAGAATTGATCCTTTCAAATTGTAGTGCTGGAGAAGGCTCTAGAGAGTAGTCCCTTGGACTGCAAGGAGATCAAACCACTCAGTTCAGTTCAGTTCAGTCGATCAGTCATGTCCGACTCTTTGCAACCCCATGGACTGCAGCATGCCAGGCCTCCCTGTCCATCACCAACTCCTGGAGTTTACTCAAACTCATGTCCATTGAGTCGGTGATGCCATTCAACCATCTTATCCTCTGTCGTCCCCTTCTCCTCTCGCCTTCAATCTTTCCCAGCATCAGAGTCTTTTCAAATGAGTCAGTTCTTCGCATCAGGTGGCCAAAGTATCGGAGTTTCAGCTTCAGCATCAGTCCTTCCAATGAACATTCAGGACTGATTTCCTTTAGGATGGACTAGTTGGATCTCCTTATAGTCCAAGGGACTCTCAAGAGTCTTCTCCAACACCACAATGCAAAAGTATCAATTCTTCAGGGCTCAGCTTTCCCTAGAGTCCAACTCTCACATCCACACATGATTACTGGAAAAACCATAGCTTTGATTGGATGGACCTTTGTCAATCTTAAAAGAAAGAACTCAACCCTGAATATTCATTGGAAGGACTGATGCTGACGCTCCAGTACTTTGACTATCAGGTGCAAAGAGCCAACTCGTTGGAATAGACCCTGATGCTGGGAAAAACTGAAAGCAAAAGGAAAAGAGGGCAACAGAGGATGAGATGTTTGGATGGCATCACTGACTCAATGGACATGAATTTAGTGGAAGTGGAAGACAGAGGAGTCTGGGTTGTCATAGACCATGGGGTTGCAAAGAGTCAGACTCAACGTAGCGACTGAGCAATAATGACAATTATCTTCTTCGGTGAGGTGTCTGTTAAAATCCTTGGTCCATTTTTTAATTGTGTCATTTTCTTGTGGTTGAGTTTTAAGAGTTCTTTGTATTCTTGATAAGTCTGTTGTCAGATGTGACATTTACAAATATTTTCTCCTAGTTTGTAGTTTATGTGCCCATTCTTTTGACATAGTCTTTCACAGAAGTTTTTTTTAACTTTATTGAAGCCCATTGTACAGGTTGTTTCTCTCATGGTTCATGTCTTTGGTATTTTTTCTATAAAGACATCACCATTCCAAGGTCATCCGGAACTTTCCCCCCTCTGTTATACTCTAAGACTTTAACAGCCTTTTTTTTTTTTTTTTTTTTAACCTTTAAGTCTGTGATCCATTTTGAGCTAATTTCTGGAAGAGTGTAAGGCCTGGATCTCAATTTCTTTTTTCTTTTTCCCAGCATGTGGGTGTCCCATTGCTCCAGCATCACTTGTTGAAAAGATTATCTTTTCTCCATTGTCTTGCTTTTGCTCCTTTTTCAAAGATCAGCTGATTATGTTTTGGGAGGTCTATTTCTGGGGTCTCTATTGTATTCCATTGATCTGTTGGTCTGTTCTTGCACCAATATCACACTATCTGAAGGTTTTTTTTTTTTTATAATTTTGTGTATATTTAAAAAGTTTATTTATTTATTTGGCTGCATTGGGTCTTAGTTGCAGCAAATCGGGATCCCTTGTTGCGTCTAGAGCACGCGGCTCAGTAGTCGTGACAGCCGGGCTTAGTCACCCTGCGGCATGTGGGATCTTGGTTCTCCGACCAGAGATCAAAACTGCATCTCTAGCACTGGAAGGCAGATTCTTAACCTCTGGACTACTCGGGAAGTCCCTAAGGCTTTATAGTAAGTCGTGAAGTCAGGCAGCATGAGTCTCCCAACTTCATTCTTCTCCTTTAATATTGTGGGTCTTCTGCTCTCTCTGTAAACCTTGGAATCAGTTTGTCAGTAACCACAAAGTTACTTGCCAAGACTTTGCTGGGAATTGCACTGAATCTATAGGTGACACCTTGATAATACTGAATTTTCTTATCCATAATCCTGGAATATTTCTCTACTCATTTGGTTCTTCTTTGACTTCATTCATCAGAGTATTCTTCATTTATCTTATAGTGTTATTGATCTCCAGCATTTCTTTTCAGTTCTTTCTTAGGAGTTCCAGCTCAGCTTACATGGCATGCTGCCTGTTTTTTCTGTTTGAGCTCTTAGCATATGAATCATAGTTGTTTTAAACTCCTGTCTGATAATTCCAAGGTCCCTGGCCCTCCTGATGCTCACTCTCTCTCTTCAAATTTTTATTTATTTATTTTTGCTGTTTGACATGTTTTGGAATTTTTTCTTGTTAGCCGGACATGATGTACTGTGTAAAAGAAACTGCTGTAAATAGGCCTGGGCTCCAAAATCACTGTGAATGGTGACTGCAGCCATGAAATTAAAGGGTGCTTGCTCCTTGGAAGAAAAGCTATGACAAACATAGACAGCATATTGAAAAACAGAGACATTACTCTGTGGACAAAGGCGCCTATAGTCAAAGCTATGGTTTTTCCAGCAGTCATGTATGGATGTGAGAGCTGGTCCATAAAGGAGGCTGAGCGCTGACAAATTGATTCTTTTGAACTGCAGTGCTTAAGAGTCTTGAGAGTCCCGTGGACTACAAGGAGATCAAACCAGTCATTCCTAAAGGAAATCAACTCTGAATATTCATTGGAAGGACTGTCACCGAAGCTGAAGCTCCAATACTTTGGCTGCCTGATGTGAAGAGTCAACTCACTGGTAAAAGACCCTGATGCTGGGAAAGACTGAGGGCACAAGGAGACGGAGGTGACAGGGGACGAGATGGTTGGATGGCATTACTGATTCAAAGGACATGAACTTGGGCAAACTCTGGGAGATGATGAGGGACAGGGAAGCCTGGCGTGCTACAGTCCATGGGGTCCCAAAGAGTTGGACACAACTTGGCGACTGAACAACAAATCTTCTATCAAATGGATGGGCGGCATTTTATCTGTTTGTTATTGATGGACATTTGGGGAGTTTCCACTTTTTAATGAATAATGCTGCTGTGAACGGCTGTGTACACATTTTTGTGTAGCCGTAAGTTTTCACTTCTTTGGGTTACATGACTAGGTGTGGAATTGCCAGGTTACATGATAACTCTATGTTTAACTTTTTGAGGACCTGCCAGGCTGTCTTACAAGGTGACTTCATCATTGAAAAATTTCACCAGTAGTGTATGAGGGCTCCAGTCTCCCCACATCTTTTATGATCTGTCTTCTTTGATGACAGTTACCCTGATGGCTATCCCATGGGGTAACTCACCATCATTCTGCTTTGCATTTCCTTAGTGAGGAATCTTTTCACAAGCCTATGGTTTATCTGTATATCTTCTTTGGAGAAATGTCTACTTAGATCCTCTGCCTGTTTTTAAAAGAATACTTAACTTTCTATTATTGAGCTGTAAAAGTTCTTTATACATTCTAGACCCAAGTCCCAACGTGCTTGCTTGAATAGAAGGAAAAGTTTCAGAACTTCCGATTATATGTTCTGAAGGAGTCGATGAGGCTGACTTATTCTTTTCTCTGTTTTCCTGTGGCTTCTTAACAATTTTAACTCAGCATGAATGACACTGTTTCTGGAGCACTGCCACTGCTTCTCTGTGAATTCTGAAGTTTTAGCATTAACACTCTAAAGTGTTAACACTTCAAGTGTTAGCATTAACACTCTACCCCATGACACTACCCCCAAAACACAATGACCCTACCATCATCTCTTAAGAGGAAAGACAGTTTCCTTTGTAAAATAATAAAATTCAGATCATTTAAAACTTTTATAAAGTTAGAATGAAGCATACATCATATCTAGGGACCTGGCTAATCATCTCTGGTGCCTTTAAAATGTCCATAAATTGACACTTTTTTCTTTCAAAAGGGTCTCATCCTCCATCCCTGGAATAGGGCCTGAATTATGTGATACATTTGCAATGAACAGAAGCAGGGTTGTGTCACTTTTAAGACTAGGGACAAAAGGCACCACACTTCCTCCTTGCTATCTCTCACTCGCTCTGGTCATGAGGATACCTGAGCAACCCAGTGGAGAGGTCCATGTGGTCAGGAACTGTGGCCTCCAGCGAAAAGCCACATCGAGAGCACCAGCTTGGAAGTGGTCCCTCCAGCCCTCGTCAAGCCTTCAAATGACTACAAGCCTGACAACATGCTGATTGCGACTCATGAGAGACGCAGAGCCAGAACCACCCCAACTTCCTGAGCCACAGAAAATGAGACAGGACAAATGTGGGCTGTGTTAAGCCGGTACGTTGGGCTAATTCGTTATGCCACAGACAACCAATGCAACATCTGAAAAAGGATAAATAGAATAGTAAGGGTATTTCTTGGCATAGTACCAATGGCACGATTCTAAGAATATCTACAAAATGTATGAAAAACAGCATTCTCTCTATGAAGTAGCCTAAATCGAATCCACAAGGACAGTTCTTTGAAATGTTACCTGAGAAGCAGGGGTTCTTTAGTCTGACTTCCCTTAAAGCCATGTGCAAGATTCTGTCTGCAGGATTGTCTTTTCCACAGAAGGGAGACGACACGTTTATATAAGATTTCCAAGACTTCATGACTCCAAAAAACTAATAACCACTTTCCTAAGGCGTGACAGATGCTATCGTAAATCCTAGCAAGTTTCTATAATCAGGTTTAAACTGCCTGGGTGTGACACTGTGCCTGGGGGATCCCGGGATCTTTTCAAGGAGGATTTATTGTGATTTGAGTGAGCTTACCCAGCGGGAAAAACCTTTGCCACACTTGGGGCATTCATAAACAGTCGGGACGAAATTGGCATCGTGGTATTTCTTGAAGTGCACATTTAGAAGCTGCTGCTGTTGGAAACATTTATTGCAGGAGAGACAGACAAATGGCTTCTCTCCGGTATGGGTAAGTATGTGAACTGTCATATGACGTTCCTGGAAGGCAAGGAAAACAAACAGGCTTAGCTGCTGACAATTTGTTTAGTATCAGGCATTATTTATTGTGTGTGCTTAGTCAGTCTGTCTGAGTCTTTGTGACCTCATGGACTGTAGCCTGTAGAATACTGGAATGGGTTGCCATTTCCTCCTCCAGGGCATCTTCCTGACCTAGGGATTGAACCAGCATCTCTTGCACTGCAGGCAAATTCTTTCCTGCTGAGCCACTGGGGAAGACCCATTATTAATTGCATACCTTTCCCCCCTCCTCCAAAGATGTGTGCATTTTTAAGAAAAAATAAAGCCAATGCATTCCCGACACAGCACTACTACGGAAGCAGCACGGTATGGCCTCTAGGAAGCAAGGTCTTACCCTGTCCTTGCCACCAGGTTACCAAGTTCTCATGATTAATCCCAGCCAGTCCTTCACTCCCGGGGGGATGAGGCACACACCCCTTGGAAGAGTGAAAGTGAAATCATTTTCCTCTCCAGAAGAGCTCATGTAGCTACAGCCTCATTTCTATAATTATTTGCCATGATCCGAGTTTACAAAGAGCAGACAGATCCTGCAAACTTGAAAACTTATCATTAGAGTTTCAATTCAGTGGATATTTGGGGGACGGAGGAAGTCAAGCATCTAAACATTTTCCTGGCTATTACCCGATGGTGTTACAGCAAGTCTCCAAATTGATTTAAAAGCACAGTGGTGAAAATCATTATTCTCAGCAAAGAAATCACCAGAAATTTTAACTAAGACTTATATGAGTAACTCATTTGGGGAATCAAGACAAAAATATAGATTCTACATGCTGTGGGACGACTGAGCTGCCGTGCTGCAACTACTAAGCCTGCGCACTAGAGCCCCATGTGCTGCAACGAGAGCCCACCGCCGTGAGAAACCCACGCACTGCGACTTGAGAGTAGCTCCCAATTTCCACAACTTGAGAAAGGCCACACGCATCACCAGAGACCCGGCACAACCAAAACTAAATGAATTAATTAAACAACAAGACACACAGCAGTCCTGCTTGGCGTGGCTGCGCTGACGCACGTTCGGGCAGCCCCACTGCCTTTGCACCATCAGTGCCAATGTCACATAGCGAAAGGGCACGGAGTGTGTTGGCAGCATAACTACTTAATGACAGTGACTTTGACCTTATGATTCTGGTTGGCTTCAAGGACCTCAAGGGGTCTGTGGGCCGTACTTTTGAACCCACACTGTAAAAGCAACTCTTGGCTCACGCACAGCCTTCTGGCTATTCTGAACAGTCTCTTTTCGGGAAGGCACGATTCTCCAGAATATGTTCAACGTGAGAGAATCCCACTCCAGCCCTTCCTTCTTCCATTGCCCCCTGCTCCCCAGCACCTGCCCGGAGTCCCTGATACACAGTACCTGCTTGCAGGCATAGCTGCAGTAGTCACACTTGAATCTCTTCTCATTTTTGTGAGTTTTCTGGTGCTGGTTAAGACTGTAGCGATCGTGGAACACAGCAGGGCAGTAATGGCACTTCATCTCTGCAGTCTCGTATGTGTGCAGGTTGCGCAAATGGACACCTAAAAGCACCATGGAGCATCGTGTACAAGAAGTTATTTTCTGTGACGTCGATTTCCCCCTACCCTTCAGATAGAGTTTCTCAGCCTTGGAACTACAGGCAGGCCTCAGAGATACTGCAGGTTCCCTTTCAGACCATTATGATAACCAAATAAAACAAATGTCAATACATGGGTTTTTTGCTTCCCAGCGCCTATAAATCTTATGTTTATGCTAGACTATTGTCCATTAAGTGGGCAGTAGCATTGTGTCTAAAAAGCTAGATACATGCTTTAATTTAAAACTACTTTACTGCTTTAAAAAATGCTAATTGTCATCTGAGCATTCGGCAGGTCATAACCTTTTTGCTGGTGGAAGATGTGAAATATTGTAAGATTTACACCAAAATGTGACACAGAGACAAGAAGTGAACAAACGCAGCTAGAGAAAAATGGTGCAGATAGACTTGCTCAATGCAGGGTTGCCACAAACATTCAATGTGTAAGAAACACAACATCTGAGGAGCACAATAAAGCAAGGTGCAATAGAATGGGGTCTGCTGGTAGTAACACTTGAAGCTGGCTGATGTTTTCCTGGGCATGGTGGGGGCATCCTGGGTGCTGCAGGATGTATGTTTAGCAAAAATGCTGGCCTCCACCCTCTAGCACCAGTTGAATCCGTTCCTCCCCAGGGTGACCACCAAAGTGCCTCCAGATACTGCCAAATGCCCACCCCCCCCGCCCCCCGCCAGCCGTAAAGTCATTCTCAGCTGAAGACAGCTGCTTTAAATGCACAGTGTACTGACATCTCATGCTAATATTTCTCGTGGAGTTAAGCACATAAGGTAGGACATATCGGACCCAACGTGTTCATTAAACAAAGCACTTGGAGAACCTTGCTACGTGGGTGGATTTTTAGGATAATGTTAGGATGGTTTTATGTGCGTGTCTGTGCACACGCTGACTGTGTCCGACTCTTCGCAACCTTATGGACTGTAGCCCACCAGGCTCCTCTGCCAACCTTATGGGCTGTAGCCCACCAGGCTCCTCTGCCCACAGGGTTTCCCAGACAAGAATACTGGAGTGGGTTGCTATTTCCTCCTCCAAGGGATCTTCCCAATTCTGGGACAGAACCTGTGTCTTGTGTCTCCTGCACTGGCAGACGGGTTTTTACCACTGTGTTGGCTAGGATGGTTTTATATAACAAAGATAAAAAATTCTGCATTTTTTTGCATAATTTATATATATATATATATATATATACATACACCACTGGACCACCAGGGAAGTCCCTAACCTCTGTATTCTGACTTAAAAGCCCAGACGTTCTGTTAGATGTCAATCCTCTGATTTTTCCTATGTCGTAACTGACCGACACACGCTAAGAAAATTTCTTGTCAAGTGAGTCTAGCGCCAGTTGGCTTTGTAACCCTTTGCGTCAGAGGCTAAACTAAAGTCAACAACTGCTGGGTAGAGGTACACACACCAGGTATGCAGACTCAGTCATTTAAAGAGTTTGGTATCTCCTATAGAGATAAGATGGAGAAGGCAATGGCACCCCACTCCAGTACTCTTGTCTGGAAAATCCCAGGGACTGAGGAGCCTGGTAGGCTGCAGTCCATGGGGTCGCTGGGAGTTGGATACGACTGAGCGACTTCACTTTCACTTTTCACTTTCATGCAATGGAGATGGCAATAGCAACCCACTCCAGTATTCTTGCCTGGAGATCCCAGGGATGGGGGAGCCCGGTGGGCTGCCATCTACAGGGTCGCACAGAGTCAGACACGACTGAAACAACTTAGCAGCAGCGTAGAGACAAGAAGGAAGGCTGAGCTTGTTTATAGAGCATCTCATGACATGTATGGAGGGTGTCACTGACTCAGATGGGCCATAGCCTGTGTTTCTTGGTGGTGGTGTCGAAAATGTCCCTTCTTGGCAACTGGCTCATGCTTCACGCCCTACAAGGTCCTTCTGGGCTCTGTTTTGCAACTGACAAAGATTTTGAATGAAAAATAAAAGCTAAGCCTTCACTAAACACCTTTACCCTTTCAGAAATGTTTTCAAAATAGTGTCTCTCATCTCTAGAATTTCTCTGGGCAAACTGGGGACTCTTATCTCTGCTGGCATATTCTGAGCATCACAGTGTTATATGGTTTAGGAAGAGGACAGAGGCAGTGGAAACTAAGGGACCAGGAACCCTGGAACAAAGGAGAGAGGCTGGCTTACTCACTCTCCCTGTCCCCCACCCCTGACACCAACTACAACCAGTTTCCCCTGAAGGTGGCATATGATCCCAGCTCTCAACTTGGCACTCAGAGCTACTCAAGGTGTCTCCTCTGTTATGATGGTTTACCTGGTCACAATGAGGATTTCATGTCACAAGAAGAGGACTCTTTCACTGAAGCAAGTTCCTTATGGGAAGAACCATGTCCTACTTCTTACTTTTGTACCTTTCGTTCCCATAACGTTTCAGGGTCACAGCAGGGGCTTGAGAAAAGCTTGCTGAGTGTCACTGGACAGAACACTGCTAAAAGATTCAGAACCTGCAACGAGGCCATATCCTGGCATCCTGGTCACGTGACTCTGGGGTAAGTTTGCTTTCTGTCTCTGATCCCCATTGTCATTTGTAAAAAAAAAAAAAAAAAAAAAAACAAACAAACAAACAAAAAAACAGACCCAACATGGAGCCAAGTAACACCCGGACGAAGCCCATTATGAGCTCAAAAGCCCGTGAGAGCTCATCTGTGTACCTAACGTGGACCTGGACCAATCTCTCACACTGCAGTTATGTGATATAGCCACAAGATGGAACCATAGGACCTCTGGAGGAAAAAAAAAAAAAAAAAAAACCACCAACCAACCCCAGGAGCAGTTCTTGAATCCTACTGCTTCCCTGGCATAAGCCTAGGGCTCCTCGGGTTTCCCAGAGCTGCACACAGTGCAGACAAAAGAAGTCAGTGGCACTGACACATATACGCTATCATATGTAAAACATAGCTAGCGGGAAGATGCTGTACGGCAGAGGGAGCCCAGCTCAGGGCTCTGGGGTGACCTAGAGCGGTGGGATGTGGCGGGGCGGGAGAGAGGCTCAAGGAGGAGGGAATATATGTATACATGTAGCTGATTCACGTCGTACTGTAAAGCAGCTATGAAAAGTGAAAGTCTTCGTGGCTCTGTCATATTCGAGTCTTGCAACCCCATGGACTGTAGCCTGCCAGGCTCCTCTGTCCATGGGGTTCTGCACACACAAATACTGGCGTGGGTTTCCATTTCCTTCTCCAGAGGATCTTCCTGATCCCGGGATTGAACCCAGGGCTCCTGCATGGCAGGCAGATTCTTAACCGTCTGAGTCACCAGGGAACTGGTGAAAGGCCCAAAGCAACTACACACCAATGAAAGAAAAAAAAACAATAAAGGACGTTCCCAACGCCAGACACTTACGCAGGTCGCTCTTCCTGGTGATGATGGTGGCGCAGTGGGGGCACTGGTACTTGGGGACATTCTTGCTGTGCTTATGCACGATGTGCATCTTCATGGTCCCGCTCTGGGTGAAGCGGGCATTGCAGATGTGGCATTCGTAGGGCTTCTCACCTGGGACACAGAGGACAACAGTGACCCTCTGCCGAGGGGCTCCATCCCGAAAACCTTGGTGCTCCCCAAAAGATACCTGGAGCTGAAAGCCTTTCTTTCCCCCAATATTCCCTTTTCAGCTCCTTCATCCTATGTTTGACTCTCCAATGAGCACAAGATTCCTAAATCAAGCTGGACAACGTCACATCGAGCTGTGTGGACAGTGGGCCAGAGGGAGCAACTCTGCTAACGTCTGGTGGCTGCTCATGGTTCAAGACCCACGCATGCCTGTGTGCTCAGTTGTCCCAGTCGTGTCCAACTCTTTGAGACCCTATGGACTGTAACCCGCCAGGCTTTTCTGTCCATGGGATTCTCCAGGCAAGATATTGGAGTGGGTCGCCATGCCCTTCTCCAGGGGATCTTCCTGAACCAGGGATGGAACCCACATCTCTCGTGTCTCCTGCATTGGCAGGCAGGTTCTTTACCACTAGCGCCACCCGGGAAGCCCTCAGAGAAAGCAATGCTTTACCTAATTGGCCTTAAGCAAGAGAAACTCCTACCTGAATGTGTTCTCATGTGCCGCTTCAGCTTGTAGGTGTCCTTGCTGGCATAGCTGCAGAGGGAGCACTGAAACGGGCGCTCACCCGTGTGGGAGCGGATGTGGCGCTTCAACTTGCTCGCCTGGTAAACAAATGAAAGATATTTATTGCAATGGAAACGTCAAACCTGTGGACTCTTGAAATGAAGCAGCATTATAAGATATGTAAATGAGCCCAACGTTAACATCAGAGCCCATTTCACACCCTGGAAAACATGCTAAGCCTTTCATTTTCCTCTCTGGGTTGGACGGTGTCCTTCATCTGCGTTGTGTGCACCGAGATCCTTGGGTGATAATGAGCGGGAGGATCAAGAGACTCTCACCTTCAGCTTCGCTTTGCGAGAAAAGATGGAAATCCAGATGCTCAGCACAAACACGATTTTATTTTCATTTCTAAAGCAACATCCTCTCAAAAGTGGCAAAGTTTAGATTATGCTGCAGAAGCATGCAGGCCACAAAACTATTGTTTGTGTAAATAGAGAAACTTGAAACATGAGTTCTTGAATGGACCTGCATCTGTTGGGAGGCAATTCACAGTTCCAAGTCCTGTGGACCCTAAAGAGCCCAGGGATGGAGGAAAGCCTTCTTGATAATTAAGAAGAGGTTCCAGGGACTCCCCTGGCGGTCCAGTGGCTAGGAATCTACGCTCCCAATGCAGGAAGCCCAGGTTCTATCCCTGGTCGGGGAACTGGATCCCACATGCCATAACCCGAGCAAAGACTGAAGATTCCGTGTGCCGCAACTAACCCCTCGGGCAGTCAAATAGCTACCTTTTAACAAAAGAACAGGTTCCACGTGGCAGTAGCTTCTCCATGAGAAGTAACTTTAAAAAAATCATTTATTCTATTTGTGAATGCATTGGGTCTTTCTTGCTGTGTGTGGGCTTTCTCTAGTTGCAGAGAGCGAGGGCTACTCTAGTTGTGGATGGGCTCCTCATTGCAGTGGCTTCCCTTGCTGCGGCGGAGCACGAGCTCTAGGTGCTCAGCCTTCAGTAGCTGTGACGCATCGGCTTAGTTGCTCCGTGGCATGTGGAATCTTCCCAGATCAGACATTGATCGAACCCATGTTCCCTGCACTGGCAGGCAGATTCTTCTTCCCTGTACCACCAGAGAAGTAACTTTTAAGTAGAAGAAAAGTAACTTTTAAGTAGAAAAAAACCCACTACATTCTAATTTGATTAGGATGCACTATCTTACTCAGTTAAAAGGCAGAGAGGCCTCTCATTTGATCTTTTGTTCCCCCTAGTTTATTACCTTCAAGAACTGTTCTTACTCTATATTCACTTACTTTGGGCCTTTATATACCTTTAGTAGAACAGAAGGTAATCACCCATGCCTGGAGTACAGATGTCAGAGGATGCTGGAGCAGGCTCTTTGTAATCTTAGGAGGGCTGCTCTGGGCTGGGTTCCCTAATGTGCAGCACCTACACACAAGCCTGAAGAACATTCTAGAGCAGAGGAAGACTTGGAAAACTAGAGCCAAACCAAAGAAAACTCAGCTTTTAGGTGTTCATTTCTATTTATTTATTTTTGGTTGGACTGGGTCTTTGCTGCTGTGGCAGGCTTTCTCTAGTTGCAGTGAGTGGGGGCTACTCTTCGTTGCAGTGAGTCAGCCTCTCGTTGCGGTGGCTTTTCTGGTTGCAGAGCACAGGCCCTCAGTGCACAGGCTTCGGGAGTTGCAGCACGTGGGCTCAGCAGCTCTGTGGCTTGTGGGACCTTCCCAGACCAGCGACTGAACCCCTGCATTGGCAGGCTGATTCTTTATCCACTGCCCCACCAGAGAAGTCCCAGCTTAGATTTTTAGAAGAAAAAAAAAAAAGATACCTTTGAGTGTACCAGAGAGCAAAACAAAAAGATCTTTTAAAATCATAGCATGAAAGGTTTGACAAGTTACATGGTGTGAATGATCCAAGAAAAGTGTTAGTCACATAGGCGTGTCTGACTCTCTGATCCCATGGACTGGGATCCTCTCTCCATGGTATTCTCCAGGCAAGAATACTAGAGTGGGTAGCCATTCCCTTTTCAAGGGGATCTTCCTGACACAGGGATTGAACCTGGGTCTCCTGCACTGCAGGCAGATTCCTCACTGTCTGAGCCACCAGAGAAGCCCATCAAAGAAGGCTGTGTGTAAACCTTCTCTGGGTGGCTATGAAAGTGAGATAGGGAGAGAGGGGAGTTCAGAAGCTGCTATACCTGTGCCCCAGCCTGACTCACTCCTGCTGGCACTTGTGAATAGGGGTGATGTCAGACAGGGGAATTGGGCTACTCCTCCTTAGAGCAGACCAGCATGCCACACTTGGAAAGTGCAAAACAAACAAACAACCAACAACAAGGTGAAGGCGGCAGCAGAGGGTCAGTGTTGAGGCCAACCCCAGAGACAGGTCTCAGCGAAAGCGAACCTGGGAAGTGTGTGCTGAGAACTGGCAGGACAGCAAGCAAGAGTCCACGCCACGCTTACAACCCTCAGACGGCTTCATTCTGTGAAACCTCCCATTTGTGTTTTTGAAACGGAGCAGGAGCCCATACTCCTCTGGTGGCTCAGACAGTAAAGAATCTTGCCTGCAATGCAGGAGACCTGGGTTCGATCCATGGCTTGGGACGATTCCCTGGAGAAGGGAAAGGCAACCCACTTCAACATTCTTGCCTGGAGAATTCCATGGACAGAGGACCCTGGGGGGCTACAGTCTATGGGGGTCACAAGGAGTCAGACAGCTGAGCGACTCACACTTTCAGGATCCTATGGTCCTTGCACCCCACACCCCCACCCCTGCACCATGTTCTCTGCCTGCCTTTTGTCTGTGGAAAACTTTAGTCAAAGAATAAGTTCAACCAGAGAGTGAGAAATGCTGAAACAGATGAAAAACAAAGTCAAAAAAGACTCAATAATAATGATGTTTTCATTGAGCATAGTGAAGGACCTTGAGTTCTTTCTCAAGGGCTATAGATAATATTCTAGGCCATATCCTGTGAACTGTCTTACAGATACTAAAACACCAGGTGGGAAAGTTAACTACATGAAGACCAGACGGCACCCAGGACATGAGAATTCTGAGAATTCTGCCATAATTCTGAGAATTGGCCTCAAAGAAATGGGAACAAAGGGACCCTGGAACTGAAGATTAACTGTACCTAAAACAACTAAGATGATGCTAGTCCAACCAGTGACGACCAATTTGAAGATGATTATTACAGATGACTGCTGTTTCTGCATGTAGCTCCCCGCCCCCCAGCCCACTCTGTCTATAAAGGCTCTCATCCTCTGCTTGTCGGGGTGGGAGGAGTTGGCCTTTGGACAGATGTCCGCCACCCTCTCCCCCAAGTTGCTGGTGGTGATTGTTTAGTCGCTAAGTTGTGTCTGACTCTTGTGACCCCACGGACTGTAGCCTGCCAGGCTCCTCTGACCATGGGATTGTTCCAGGCAAGAATATTGGGGTGGGTTGCCATTTCTTTCTCCAGGGGATCTTCCCAACCCAGGAATCAAACTTGGGTCTCCTGCACTGCAGGCAGATTCTTTACTGACTGAGCTACACTGGCACCTGAAATAAAGCAAACTTTCCTTTCCACCAACCTGGCCTGTTTATTGGCTTTGGAGTGGCCAGCAGCTGGACCCCACACATACTTTTTGTTACATTTTCATTATACAGTTACAACCTTTAACTCAGATGAGAAACAACTTTTAAAAAGAGTAATAGCAAAAAAATATATATATTTTTGGATTCAAATTCTGACACTGTCTGTGAAATTTCCTAGTTGATGAAACACTGTTGCATCACTACTGCATTTAAACTTTCGCTGTCCCCTTTGGCTTAGTTGAGTTCGAATGTTTTTTCTTTGCCCAATGGGCTCAGGACCCAGCATGTGCTGTACTGGACAGCAGAGTCCTTAAAACTTGCAGAAAAGTGACATTCAAAAGTAACTGTGGTCCAGTGGTTAAGAATCCGCCTCGCAATTCGAGGGACACTGGTTTGATCCCTGGTCTCGGAGGATCTCACATGCAGTGGAGCAGCTGGGTCTGTGAGCCACAACTACTGAGCCTGTGATCTAGAGCCCGGGAGCCGCAATTACTGAAGCCCACACACCCTAGAGACTATTGCTCCACAACTAGAGAGTAGCCCCCACTCGCTGCAAAACCTGCCTGGAGCAACGAAGACCCAGCACAGACAAAAATAAAAATAAGAAAGTAAAAAGTCTAAAAAGTAACTGTACTCTTCTGCTGTCATTTCACTGAGGATGAGCTCAGTTTTCTGGGAGGCATAAATAAACCAATCTAGTTGAAATGATCATAACAAAACTGAAGATTGAAAAAGGTGTTCTCTGTCCTTAAGAGCAGAAATGGCCATGTTTAAATCTTTAAGTAAGCTGCTTCGCACGGAACCAAGTACCACTGAGGAAGGCTCAAAGATTTCAGCAAAAATTCAAACCGGATCTGTGTTCTGTGTTAGAGCAAATAGATTTTGATTTTGTGGAATGACTGCTGCATGGAATGCTGGGTAGAGTGTTTAAACAAATATGAGAATTATTTCTCAAGGACCACAGATTACTTGTAATCTGTACACCATAATATATTACTTTCACTAGTTGATACCAAAGAAAAAAAAAGAAATCATGTTTTAAAAATTAATTTTAGAAACCAGAATGAGATATTGGAAGAGATGCTATTACCAGTTTGATTTACAGAAACTTCTTAATAAGACACTAAGTACAAAGAGCAAACTTACTTCCACACTAGCGTACTTGCACACGGAACATTTAAAGGGTTTCTCGTGAGTGTGTTTATAACGTCTGTGCCAGACGAGTTCTCCACTGGTGACAAATGCCATGTCACAGTCACCACACTTGTGGGGCCTGGTTCCTGTAAAATCACACAGTTTATTCTTTCAAACAAGATTTAACAACAATTTTTCTAGGCAATTATAACATATAAATGATACTCAGTCTCAACATGCTTTAAAAATTCAGAAGAGGCCCTTTAAACCAAATGCTTCAGAGAGAAATGAGAAAAATCTTTGGACCATCCAAAGTTTTTAACCAAAGTGGAAGAAAAAAAGACAAAACTAAAGTCTAAAAAATGACACCATTTTAATATAGAACCTGGTGGATTTGCCTTCTTACACAAGCCTCAACATGCATCCTGCAAGGGAAAGGCCCCCCTCAGCTGTTTACCTGTATGGGTATTGACATGGTTCCGATGGAGGGTAACTGTACGGAAAGCTTTCAGACAAAGGTGACACACGTGGGGCTTTTCAGTGCTGTGAGTTTTCATGTGACGATTGAAACTGGAAATTCTAGAAGAGGTGAACTTGCACAAGTTGCAGTGGAAGGTTCGTTTTACTTCTGCAGGAGGGAGAGGCAACATTTATGTGTTTGTAAACATTTTTCTTTAGGTGTTCAGATTCCACTTAAATACATCAAAGTAACTTGGCACATCCTTTTTTTTTTTTTTTTTTTAACCTATCATGGTGACCCAACAAGACACTCCATGCAAATGGTAACCAAAAGAATAGTATACCTGGGTGGCTATACTAATAGATGAAATAGACTCTGACAAAATCTGTTACCAGAGACAGATAAGAACTTAATGTAGGGCTTCCTGGGTGACTCAGCAGGAAAGAATTCACCTGCCAATGCAGGAGACATGGGGCTCGATCCCTGATCCAGGGAAGATCCCACCTGCTGCACAGCAACTAAGCCCATGTGCCACAACTACTAAAGCCCGCACGCCCTAGATCCTGTGCTCCACAACAAAAGAAGCCACTGCAATGAGATGCCTGCATGTCGAAACTAGAGAGTAGTCCTTGCTCTGCTGCAACTAGAGAAAAGCCCTTGCAGCCAAAAATAAATAAGTAAGCATTTTTTAAAAAGAACATAATATAATAAAGAGTCAAATCATCATGAAGATATAACAGTTATAAACATACATGCACCTAATAATAGGCCCCCAAAATACTTGAAGCTACAACTGAAAGAACTGAAGGTAGGAAGAGAGCCTTCAATAGCAGTTGGAGACTTCAACAACCCACTTTCAACCATGAAGAGCACACCTAGACAAAATATCATCAAGGAAACAGAAGACTCAACATAAACCTATTTGACAGAATAGACTTCTATGAACACGCCACTCAACAAGAGCAAAATATACATTCTTCACAGGTGTATGTGGAACCTTCTCCAGTAAAGACAATAGGGTAAACCAGAAAACAAGTGTCAATTAATTTTAAAAGACATAAATAATCTGGCCTTTGACCATCACAGACTGAAGTCAGAAATCAATAAAAGAAAGAAATTTAGAAAATTCACAAATATATAGAAGTTAAACAATACACTCCTAAAGGACACATGGGTCAAAGAAGAAATTGCAAAATACTTTGAGATGATGCTAACCACAAGTAAGAAGGGACAGTGGTGGCAGTGTGGTTTTCTAAACTGAATCACTTTTTAGCCGTGACCAACTGTTGCTAGAAGGAGGAAACGGCCAAGGGTGGCCAGATACAGCTTTTCATAAAAGAGCTTCAAGTTGAAATTTCAAGGGTGAAATCTCTTGATTTAGATAAGAGAGAAACTAAACTTTTTAAAAACCTGAACAAATAATTTTTGAGGGTCAGGTTCATCCTCTTTTCTAGCCTCACCTAAACATCCCCTCCCCTTAAAAGATGATGTCTTGGCTGCATTCTGGGAATCACTCTGTCCATCTGCCAGCGCTGACACACTTGCTTTGGTCTCCATCAGACCTCTCAACCCCCAGGGCTGCAAACTAGGGAGCAGATGGGGCCCAGGCTTCTATCTGTTGCTGTTGTTTAGTCGCTCAGTCGTTTCCAACTCTTTGCAACCCCATGGACTGTACCTGCCAGGCTCCTATGTTCAGGGTATTTCCCAGGCAAGAATACTGGAGTGTGTTGCCATTTCCTCCTCCAAGGCATCTTCCCAACCCAGGGCTCAAACTCAAGTCTCCTGCACTAGCAGGTAGATTCTTTACCACTGAGCCACCTTGGAAATTCAAACTTCTATTTAAGTGTACCTAAGTAGAAGGGAGTCTCTGAGCTATGCTTTTAAAACATTTGGTCACAAAACCCAAATCTCTTTTGCATTTGATTCACAATACAGAGTTCAAAATGTCCTGCCATTCTGAAGACGACTAAAGCAACCACTACAAACTCAAATTGCCATCTCCCCCACTAAAGAGAATCAGTTTCCCTGTTGTTTGCAGAGCTTCTTGCACCAAATGAACCGGCCTACCCTTTGCCTTCTTTTGATTTTTCGTAGTGCTGGGTTTTTCAAGGTGTGCTTGATCCAGTTCAGGTTTCTCTTTTTGTTCTTCCATATTTAAGTTTGAAAATGTCAGAACGATTTCATCTCTTCCTTCATCTCCTGGCCTTGCTTCCACAAGAAAAAACTGCTCTTCTGTATTTTCACTGAATCCACCTTCAGCGAGCAGCTGTTCCTCTTCCTGACCTTTCTGGAACTAATGCAGAAAAACAAGTATTCAAACAAGTACAGTACTGTTAATTACAGCCTGGTTTAACTCTTTGCCTTGATGAAACCATAAAATCCAAAGAGGCAAACACAAAAAAGTACAGAAAATTGTCCGTTGCAACCAAAATGCTTAAACTGTAATTATTAAGCATCAAGGGTTTGAATGGAACATTAACACAGTTTAAAAACTCAACGGATCTTATCATATTCTTAAACTCTAAAAAAACTGCACAAGTTCCTCCTTGGTTTTTCTGGAACATATTTTTATTGTGTTTGATTTTATCTTTTTTTTTAAGTTTTTTTTTTTTTTTTGACGTGGACCATTTCTTAAGTCTTTATTAAATTTGTTAACATATTGCTTCTGTTTTATGTTTTGGTTTCTTGGCCATAAGGCATATGGGATCTTAGCTTAGAAGGATCAAACCTGCACCCCCTGCACTGAAATGAGAAGTCTTAACCACTGACCACCTGAGAAGTACCTGTGTTTAAAACACAAAATTTAAACTGCTTGTCCATATGTAATAGTGCACAAGTTAGTCTCTCAGTCATTTCTGACTCTGCGACTCCATGGACTATAGCCCGCCAGCCTCCTCTGTCCATGGGATTCTTCAGGCAAGAATACAGTAATGGGTGAAAGTGAAAAGAAGTTGCTGAGTCGTGTCCGACTCTTTGCGACCCCATGAACTATGGCCCACCAGGCTCCTCAGTCCTTGAAATTTTCCAGGCAAGAGTACTGGAGTGGGTTGCCTTTTCCTTCTCCAGGGGAATCTTCCCAACCCGGGAATTGAATCTGGGTCTCCCGCACTGCAGGCAGACACTTTACCGTCTAAGCCACCAGGGATGGATGGGTAGCCATGCCTTTCTGAGGGATCTTCCCAACCCAGGGAAGGAGAACTCTAAAAAATAGTTTTCTGGCTCCCCCATCCTTTTCTTAAAACCAGGTGTACCTTTATGGATCCAGTGCTTTCTTCCATGCTCACTGCAGAATTACAGTCTTCATTGGCCCCGGTCACATTCTCCTCCAGAAGCTGATACTGCATCACCTCCATCTCCTGCAGCGAGTATACCTCCTCCTGGACACTGAGGACACACTGGTGCAGGCTCTGCTGGGCCACCTCCCTGAGCCACACCAGCGACTGCACCCCACTATCAGCCTGTTGCACCATCACCTGCATCTCGTCCTCCTTCTGGGGATCCAGCCAGCTGAGGTCCTGCAGTTCAGCCTCTTCTGAGGGGAAGTGCACGGTCTGCAGGGTCAGGATGTGCTTCTCGTTCTCCTCTGGGGCAGTCAGCACCAGCTCTGGCACCTCCTCCAGGATCGTGCTCTGGAGGGGCCCCTGAACACTCTCCACCTCCAAACCCGCAGAGTCACACTGTTCCTTTACTCGGCACACCCCGTCATTTTCCTCTTGCTCCTCCTCCTCCAGGGCCCTGTCTGGTATCAACTCTGGTTCTTTGATTTGGGTGAACTGCTCAGGGGGGACAGAGAGCTCAGCCCCTGCCATTATGACTCCGCCTCTGTCAGAGAAAGAAGCAAACCTGTCTGGGTGGGCACAGTGGGGGGTTCAGCCTAGCAGGCTCTGGGGCTGATCAAGGCCCCATAAGGTTCCAGCCCCCAGAGACTTGGGGGTCACATGGGTCAGGACTAAGTTAACTCAGCCTAGGCTGAGAAGGGGCTGAGACGAAGCAGGATTGAGGCTAAAGTAGGTGTTTGTCTAGAAGACTCTAGAACCCAAAGATTTGAGCCTGGGCAAGCTTTCAGCAAATGCATATTCCAGGCCTGGAAGGCTTGAGACTGGCCAGGCTTTCAGCAAACGCACATTCCAGGTACAGAAGGGTGGCCTGAACCAGCGTCCTACCAGGGCACAATCACAGACTGAGCACCCTTTGAGCCATGGAGGCTTCAGGCCTAGGGCCTGTACCCATGCAGCCTTGGCCTTCAGGCCTCAGGCTCACCACATGCCCGCTCCAGGCCTGGGGCATCTTTCCCTTCCTGGACCACCTCTCCTGGCTTGGCCCCTCCATGGCTGGGCCCCTCCCCCACCTCTCTGGTGTAGCTCCCCAGAACCCTTCCCGCCATTCCCCCAACTCCCACTCCTGCGCCCACGCGGAGAAGCTCCTCCTCCGAGGAGGCTGGAGTCTGCCCCCCCCCCCCCCCCCGCGGCGAGGATCCTCACCCAAGAAACGTGGCTTGGAGACGCAGCCCACCAAGCCCACTGGAATCTGCCTCGTGCTGCATGCTTGCAGCCCACTGCCTGCTGCTGCCCAGGGACTGAGTGTGAGGGGCAAAGATGTTAGTGCGCAGGCGCGGGAGGGGGAGGGGCAGCATGCAAGGGGCGTGGCCTGAGCGGATGATGGAGGAGGCAGAAAGTGAGGGAGAGGAGGTGAGAGTTGCCGTGCGGTTGGGGGGGGGGTTGCTTCAGAGACAATGGCCAGTGGCGATGGATGAAGGGAGAGTGGAGAGAGCCCTACAAACGGCACTGAGACCAGGAGGGAGCTGAGGGGGCGGCATGGAGCGAGACCTGCAGGGGGCGCTGAGACCACGTGGGGGGATGGAGAGGGGAGGGGAGGGCGACCTGCAGGGGGCGCTGAGACCACATGAGGGGATGGATGGGGGGGTGGGGGGGACCTGCAAGGGGGCATTGGGACTACAAGGGGGTTGGATGGGGGAGTGGAGGGTGACCTGCAGGGGGCGCTGAGACCACGTGACGGGATGGATGGGGGAGTGGAGGGTGACCTGCAGGGGGCGCTGAGACCACGTGAGGGGATGGATGGGGGACTGGGGGGGGGGATCTGAAGGGGGTGCTGAGAGACCACGTGGGTTGATGGATGGGGGTTGGGAGGGGACCTGCAAGGGGGCATTGGGACTACACGGGGGGGATGGATTGGGGAGTGGAGGGTGACCTGTAGGGGGCGCTGAGACCACGTGAGGAGATGGACGGGGGAGGGTGGGGCAACCAGCAGGGGGCGCTGAGAGACCACCAGGGGAGATGGACGGGGAAGTTGAGGGTGACCTGCAGGGGGCGCTGAGACCACATTGGGGGATGGATGGGGGAGTAGAGGGGGTCTGGGACCTGGGGGACGATAGATGAATGGAGCAGTGGGAGAATGTCAAAAATGAACTGAAGGGAGCTTTGACAGATGGAGTGGGTTGAAGAAAGAAGAGCGAACTCTTAGGAGGATCTTGAGGCCTGCGCTAGGTTTGGCGGTGGATGGTGGAGGAGACCTAGGGCGGGAGCAGAGCGGGGAAATAGAGTGGGTGTGATGGAGAACGGGAGGGAGCTCAGGACATGATGGTGGGGAAGTGAGAAATGGAAGTCAATGGAGTAGAATACTGAGGAGGAGGGGCAGAAAGGGTGTGCTGTGGGGGAGTTGTGAGGAGGAGAGTTTAAACTCAGAAGGAGCCATGGTGCACTAGCTATGTGTCCATGAATTGTTCGCTTTAAAGGGGTCACATTCTGTTGGAATTTCACCTCAGGAAGTTTTTTTAATAGAGATGAGTGATTTTTTATTTCTCCAGAAGGAATTCGGTCTCCACTAGATACAAATAAATACAAGTTTGGAGCCAATGGATGATTAAAATCATTTTCAGTTCACTCATTTTTTTTTTAAAGGTATGGTTTACACTGTTCCAGGAAAATTACATTCCGTATTATTTTTACTTTAGAAAAATCTTAAAATTTAGTGGAATTGTCTTAGTTTCTGATTGTGAATAAATGTATGTGGACTGGGCTTCTCAGGTGGCTCTAGTGGCAAAGAACTTGCCTGCCAGTGTAGGAGAGATAAGAAATGTGGGTTGGATCCCTGAGTCCGGAGGAGGGCCTGGCAACCCACTCCAGAATTCTTGCCTGGAAAATCCCACGAACAGAGGAGCCTAGTGGGCTACAGTCCATGGGATCACAAGACAGTCGGACATGACCGAGTCACTTAGCACACTCCAACACTAGAAAACAAACAAAATGTGCACTGGAAATCAAAAACTAAAGAAAGACAGCAGTCTTGAGGATGGGGTTTTGGGGGGCCTCCCCTCCAGGGAGGAGCCTCCCCTCCCTCAGGGGAGCAATGGCCTTTGAGCACATCTTCCAACAAACCAGTGATGGGTTTTCCTCCCATCCACAGCTGGAGAACTATGTCCATCAATGTGCCTTTTATGTGTCTGCCCATTCATTCTCCAAGCCTCTTCTCATTTTATTTCACATTATTGTGAAGAGTACATACTCATTTTGGGAGGGTTGTTTTTTGATAGTACAAAGGATAAAACTAAATTTGTTTTTGAAAGAAACTCATTTGAAACTAATACAACATTGTAAATCAACTATACTCCAATAAAATTAAAAAAAAATCCCTCACATATCAGCTGTAATAGGTTTGTCGGTTAAAACCTTGGATGGCTCGTTTTAACACTGTGTCTGGCTTTCTATGACAATTTATATGCTTTATGAGGAGAAGATAAATATTTGAAGGTTACTGGGAAAAGAGTATGTCTCAATCACTTCTTTTAAATCATTGAAATGAGTTTTTCTCCCTGAACAATCACGACCTCTTTAGTGCCTTCTTGGATAATTTTGTGTTATTGCTCTAATGCTCATCCAGTTACAATGTTTTGCCAGTATTTATATCAGAAATGTGTGTTTAGAAATTTCAAATACTGATTAAAAGCACATTTTTTACAGGAAAGGGGAGATGTAGAAAGGGGAAACAGAAACAGACTTGGAGGGAAAAGTAGGGGCTTTTAAGGGGTGGAGGGCAAGCAGGGGAGAGCCTCCTTGAAGAGGAGAGGAGGGTGACGTGGATGAAATACTCAAAGAAGATAAAGCAAAGGAGACAGGCCTGTGGTTTTCCAAACTGGTTCTCACGTAGGACGTTCCAGGAAAGATTGTAAAGCGTTTCCTTTACTCTCTTCAGACATCTCTGGGACTCACTGGAAGACCTCTCACTGAAGGACATGTCCCTTTGGAGCCTCCAAGGGGCCTTCATTCAGAAGGCGGAGGAAGGAGGGACACCCCAGAAGGCTGTCTTCCTTCCTCGATGTCCAGGCAGCCCTGCTGAGCAGGGCACGGGGAGGAGCCCTCACGTGTGGATCACGATGAAGTGAACCTGTCCCTCGCTGTGCGGCGCTGGTGAGGCAGCTCCCCAGGCAGTGCCGGGGCTGGGTTCCAAAGGTGGGTAGTATTTGGAGCCTACCTGTTGGCCAACCTCAACCCTCAGGCAGTGGGCATGGCTGGCAGCCTCTGGAAGGATCCAGAATGTGGAAGCTTGATTTTGGCAGGGCTTGCTTCTTCAAGGAGGCGGGTGACTGTCATGTCCATTCCAGGTTCTCTGTGGAACCTGAACTGAACATTCCCTTCCTGCTTCCTGAGCCTCCCTGCCATCTTGGATGATATAATATGAGGGGAGGCGGGATGTGTGTTGGGGGTGGACATCTCTAGAAAGAGATATTGGACTTCTGCTAATAGGCTCTTGGAACACAGAAGCCTTACAAAATGAGATGTGACCCTGTTTCACCCAGAGTGTGAGGGGCAGTTTCCACCAGTTAAACTCTTGATCCTTGTTTATCAGGGGTTAGAGACAGAGAAGGAGGCAGGCCATTTGCATTTAGTTGAGAATGAAAAGAGCAATTAACTCCTGGGCCCACAACTGTCAAGTCTGAACGTCTCAGATTCACTTTGGTGCCTCCTTGGTGAGCTTCCCAGGTAGCTCAGGTGGTAAAGAATCTGTCTGTGATGCAGGAGACCCAGGTTTGATCCCTGGGTCAGGAAGATTCCCTGGGTCAAGAAGATTCCCCGGAGAAGGGAATGGCTACTCCCTCCAATAATCTTGCCTGGAGAATTCCATGGCTGGAGGAGCCCAATGGGCTACAATTCATGGGGTCGCAAAGAGTCAGACATGACTGAGTGACTAAAACTTCCACTTAACCCCATACCTCCTCCCAGATATTTTCTTCTGCTGTTCCTTATCCCTGCTCCATCCAGACCCATCTTCTAATTATCGCAAGTGGCCACACAGGGTGTAAGCTGAGTTGTGTGTCTGTTCTAACTCCAGAGTTTTGCATCTGGCTCAGCTTTGCCATCATCGGTGTTCTCGATGGCACCGATGTGGCCCTGCCGAGACGCGGGATGTGCTGCCTGCTCTTCCTAAGGCAAGTGCTGTTTCAGTTTCTAAACACGACTGGGATTGGGACAAACTAGACTCCGGTCCTTCCAGTGCCCATGTATAGTTGTCGGTCATTTGCCTCCTCCAGAAGAAAAAGATGCTCACGCTCACCATGCCTCTTGCGCAGGATGTCAGGGGACTTCTATGTGGTTGATAGCTGCTTGCTGGACGGGTTCCTGGGAGACACTCAGGGGCCTGTAGCCTCTGGCCTTTTAGCATCGAGGGCGCTATTGTTCCTCAGCCCGCCCACATTATCAGCTTTTCATCAGCCAGTGTGGCTCAGAGTAAAAAGGGTCCTGCCAAGTGTATGGTGCTTATATAGAACAAGGGCAGGAGGCTACATTGGTGCTTG